AGGAACTTGACACACCGACTAAAAATAAAAAAACAATGCCGACTACGACGACAACGACGACGACTACGACAAAAAATAGATATATTAATAAAAAAAAATAAAATAAAAAAAAAGAGTTTAAAAAAAGAAAATAGAAATGATTTCATCGCGTGGTAGGAAAGGGTATCGTTCTGGTTGTTGTTGGTTTGGTCTTGTTCAGCTTGCCTAACCTCTCTTCTATTCGCGCAAGCGGATTTGACGGCGTGTAAACGAGAAGAGGAGGGAATAGAGTTAGGTAGGTGATGCATTTGAACAAACATCGAATGTCGAGTTTTTAACAATTCGAGAGTTAAACTCGATCGCATTATATATCGTTCGATTTAAAAAGACAAACAATAGAAAAAGAAAAAGAGAGAGAGTATATCGTGTATCTATTCTCCCTATTGATATTTGCTATTAAATTTTTCATGGAACAATATGGAGAGATAGACAGAAAATAGAGAGGGATTTATTCTTTCTCGAATGGAACTTTTTAGAACGATCAAAGGGGGATAATAGTTAACTTTTCTCTATAAATTCGGCTTTACTATTACTTTATTCTGATATGGAAAAAGAGAAAAATATATCTTGGATATATATACAGATTTTCTCATTCGTTGCTTTGTCAGCTAATGCAAAAGTTACAACCGGAACGAGTTTCATACGTACGTACATAGATCGATAGATGTATAAATACATAAACACATACGTACACACAATAGACAAAAAGAAATAAAAGAAAGAAATACACGTACGTAAAATAAATAGCCCGATTGATGATGGTTGCTTTGGAATTAGTTAGTTACACCGTCTGCGCGTCGAAAGGTAGACACGCGAGTGCAAAGGGTGCAAAGGGTTAATGCGGTGGCTTTCAGCAAGTTGGCTCTTTCAACGCTATATACAGGAAGGAGAAAGAGAAAGAGAAAGAGAAAGGAAGGGAAGGGAAAGTGAACGTTAGCATATCCTTTTCACAAAGAACGAAAGAGGAAGAGAGAAAGAGAGAGAGAGAGAGAAGAGAGAGAGAGAATGAGTGGAGCCTAAAAATTCATCATCCAAGTTAGAAAATCGCGATCGTCGGCAGCGTTTCGTTTTATCATCCACCCTTTCTGTGAACATTCGATAAAATAGTAGTAGTAGGTAATAGGCAACAGCAGCAGTAGTAGCAGCAGTAACAGCAAAGCAAAGCAAAGCATCGGAAGGTCCTTTCTCTGTTAGTAGTCCCTGTTTGAACTACTGGGTGCATCGAGAAGAGGAAAGTCGAAGAGCGTTCGTGGGCCTTCGGGCAAGTTCGAAGCATAGGGGGAGATTGCCACCACCACCACCACACTGTAGCACGTATTAATGCCCAGACTAGCGAGTAAAACGAATGATTTGTTAGGGTGCCTTAAGCTTCGTTACCGTGGCTTGCTTCCTACGTGGAAGGCAAATGGCGATGGTGTTGTTGAAGAAGGAGGAATAGAATGAGGAAGAGGAAAAGGAGAAGAGACGAGGAGTGTAGACGAGACGAGACGAGAAGCACCGAGGGAGATTGTTGGATCGGGCTAGGGTGGAATGGAGGGCGTGGGAGAGGGACGAAAGGAGAGAGAGGACTACGCTCCCGTCTCATCTACTTGATTGCATTGGCCGGATTACAGCAGGGCTTTAACGCATCTCCCTTGGGACGCCTAGCGTGAAAACAAAAAGAGTAGAACGAGCCGAAAGAAAGAGGCGGGAACGTGTACGAAGAAGGGAGAGGGAAGGAAAAAAAGTGAATAATAAAGGGGGAGGGAAAAGGACCTGAAACCGCTTCTCTCGTTCCCTTCTCGTTTCTTTTTTCTTTGTTTTTTTCTTTTTCTTCATCTTTCTCTTCTTACTTTTTTTTCTTACTTTTTTGGTTTTTTTTGTTCATCTTCTTCTTCTTCTTCCTTTTCTTCTTCTTCTTTTTCCTCTTGTTCCCGTTCTTATTCTCTTTTTCTCCTACGAGATCGTCGTCGTCATCCTCGTCGTCGTCGTCTTTGACGTAGCTCGAGTTAAATTCCCTGAGAATAATTTTCGCTTCCTTCAACACCTTTCTTTCTCTTCTTATTTCTTCCTCTTATTCTTCTCCTTTTTACCTAACACACGCAACCTTTTCTGACCCCCTTATTTTCCTCTCTTCTTTATAGTTTAACGCGGTTTCTTTTTATTTTTTGCTTTTTTTTTTGGTTTCATACTTATTTTACGTTCTAAAATAAATACTCTACCATTTTCATGGAGAAATCGGACACGCTTGCGGGCACATTTTGTTAATTTGATATACGCGCGAATGATACGAACGGATTTTGAGATTTTCTTTTTATTTTTTTTTTTTGCTCGATTATTTTTTTCTCTTTTTCAAAAGAGAGAAAATGAGAAAGAAAGAAAGAGAGAGTGTGTATAGGCAAAAGGAAGAGATGACTCGGATTAACTTAACTTTTTAGCACCACGAGCTTTTAGAGGCAGAACTCAAAGCGCGCGCGTCGGTGGGACCCTTTTGCTCGCAGATCAAAGCGGATAATCTCGTTATCGTCCTGTTCTGACTAGCCTATGAAAAAGTTCTACGTTGTTGAATTTCATTTGCGAACGTAATTCTCTCTCTCCCTCTCTGTCTCTCTTTCTCTCTTCGTATAAACCCCATCTATCGAATTGCATCTCTCTCTCTCTCTCTTTCTGTCTCTTTATTTCTCCGTCTCTTTATTTTTCTGTCTCTTTTTAATTTACCTTTTGTTTTCGGTTTATCGTTGTTCGCCTATCTTTTTTTCCAATCATCGATTCTTCGATCGAACTTCTCTCATCTTTCTTTTGTAATTTCTTTTTTTCTTACTTTTTATCTGTATGGGGATTTAGGTTTATACCTCGTAGAGTATTACTCGAGCGAATGATAGTCGGAGTTGGCAATTTTTAACTTTCATCCCTTTTCTTTTTTTCGTTCTCTTTATTTCTACTGGTTTCGTTTTCCTTAGAGAAGAACGTCATCTTTCCAATGGTTTCTATTTTCTATAAGTATGATCTCTCCGATAGGAAGAACAGATTTGAGAAAGGGTTACTTTTTTAATATACTCCTTTTGATGATTACCTTTTCGACGCAGACATAAGTTTATTCCCTTTACCCTGTTTTTCTTTTTTTTTACTACCTACTTTAACCTTTTTATTAGGGTAAACCCATTTTTATTTCTTTTCTTTTATTATTCACTTTCTCCCTCCCTCTCTTTCTCTCACTCTTGTTACATTGTGTGTGTAAACAAGGTACGCGTATAAAAACGCGAAACTTCGTAGAATTGTAATTTCCTTTTATTGTCAAAGTTAGGTGTAAACTGTGTCCAGAAATTTTTACTGTTAAAATAGGGGAGCTTATGTCGTACAATATATACATACACACAC